GGGGGGATGGAAAACTGGGAGCGACCCCCACCCTGTTACCCTGGGCTGTAAACGAATCCTTGCAGATGAGTCTCTGAATGCTCACTTCTCGGGCACCTTGCTGGCTCCCCCCTTGCGCTGGCTGGGGGCTTTGGGGCCACGTTCATCCCCATCGGAGCTGCATCGGGAGCCCTCCCAGTGCTCAGGGCTTTTCTTGTGATTAGTCTTTGCTGCCACACTCTCTCTGCTCTTCAACGATGTTTCCAGAGGTCTCTCCTTGGGTTTTCTCCCTCTTTTCTTCCCATTTGTGCTTTTTTTTTTTTCCTCCTTGCTGGATGAAAGCTGCTCTCTGTTTTTCTTTTTCCGGGCAGTTTCTGAGGAGGTTCGGAACCAGTTCTGTGTCCACAGGGTTACAACAGAGGTGGTTAGGGACTGGCCTTGGGCTGGCACCCCTGACCCACATCAGCTGAGGACCCTCCTGCCCTCTTTCCCCACATTCTCACCTCTCCATGCCCCACTGTTGTCACCTCCCCAAGGGCAGCCAGACTGGCATCAGCCTGTAGGTGTTGGGGACACAGAGCCCCTCAGCCTGGGATGCCAAGTCTGTGCCATGCCACCATGCCACCACTACTGATGGGAGCTGCTGTGCTCTGCTCCTTGATGGAGAAGGAAAGAGCCAGCACGAGTGCATGGCAGGGACCTGAAGTGGCCCCAGAGCTTTCTTACCTCCGAGTGAGCCTTGATGATGTGGTACTTGACCCCACTCTCAGAGCTGAACTCCTTCTGGCACAGCAGGCAGCGGTATTTGCCCACTGAGTGCTCCCCCTGCAAGACAGAGCACACTGCTACACCCCATGCAGAGCCAACACATCCCTCCCCTTCTCCTTCCCAGCCAAAGCAGGCTGACACTTCAACCCAGAAGCAACAGAAAAGAAACGTTCATTTCTGAAGCACCAGAACTGCCACAACTGCACCTTCTGCTCCACATGCAGTGTGTGCTGGCCGTGCAGCAGCCATAGCTCTGCTGGTGCTGCACTGACATGGTGTGTGTCCACATGGCCACATGGGCTCATTTCCTCACTGTCAGCAGATCTGTGATCTACTGGGACTGAGCCCTCAGCTAATTTATGTCCGACAGGCTCACCTAATTTTCCTTTTATGCCGGCGGGGAGATGCAGCCACTGCTGGATTTCTGTCATTAGAGTCCTTTTGGGGATGACTGATCTCCCTGCTCTGCCGCAGTTCACGACTCGGGGGAGATAATGTGTTCTCTATTGACGAGGGGTTTATGGATGGGCCTCTCCAGGCAATATATCCACTCCGTGGGAATTTCCCTGTAGCTGGCTCTGCGCCGTAAATCTGCAGCCAGACAGGGCTCCCGTTTGGGAGACAGGCAGGATGCGGGCAGCCTGGCCCCATAAATCCTCATGTCAAGATCATCTTGACCCATCTGAGGGTGGGGCGGTGCCTGGGAGCCTCCTCCACCCTTGGTGCCCAGCTGTGCTGTGGGCCATGCCAGGCTCACCTGACCTGGGCGGTGCAGCTGTATGTTTACAAAAAATGTTCTTCCAACTGCTGGCTGCTTTCTGTGCACAGCACCGGAACACTGACAACAACGGCAGCTGGAAAAAGGCTCCATTTTCTCCCAGAAACCATTTGCTGGTTCTGCATGCCAGCAAAGGAACTGCTACAGCCTCCTGAGCTTGCACTTTTATCCTGGATGAATACCGCTTCTTCTGCCGGATCTCTGCAGCCCACTTTCTAAATGATCTCATTAGGGGTTGATGTTCCAGCTAGTGCTGGAGGAGTGCTGGAGTTAGTGTTTTTAATAACGATGGGGTATTTATTGGAGCTGCCTCCTGGAAGCTACATTCAATGGAAGCTGCAGCTGGAAATGTTTCAGGGTATAAAGCTTTATGAGCTCTTACCCAGTCCCCTATGCTGAGCACTCCTCCCGCAGTGGCTGCAGGCAACCGGAGTCCCATGCCAGGTGCTGGCCCCAGCCACAGATGAGTTGGGAGCTGCAGGAGCTGTGCAGGGGCTGCTGTGCGTTGTTCTGGGGTTTGCACAGGAGACAGCTCTCCTCCAGTGCTCAGGTTTTTGCTAAGTCCTCTCTGTGACTTCTGCTGGGCAGGACATTACACCGTGGCTGTGGGTGTGATCCTGCCCAGGACGGTGCTGGGCTCTGGCTGCAGCAGTGCCACAGCTGAGCAGTGACACTCAGCCTGCCCTCTCTGCAGAGCTCATGCCCTGCCTTCAACCAGGGCACTGCAGGCAGCTTCCACCCCTCCCAGTGCTGGCTGGAAGCCACAGGGATGTGGTCACAGTCCTTTAACCCATGTCATTGTCCCTAGGAATGCTACTCTCAGATGAGCCGTGGGCATGGAAGGACAAAACCAACCTCACCACCGAGCCAAAGCTGTGAAATGAGGAACCTACCTTGTTGCAGTTGGCCAGGTGAGCTTTCAACCCCGAGACGCTGGAGTAAATGGCTTCACAGCACTGCAGAAACAAACAGAGGAGGGGTTTTGTCATGATCCCTCATCTCCGTACTTTCCTCCATCCCACGTCCAGGAGCCTGCTGTGCCAGCAAGGCCACAGGTCTGGGCTGAGCAGCATGAGGTTAATGCTCTGCGAGGCACCCAGGGCTCCGGTCACACGTTTCCTATTAGTGCTAATGGGAGTCATGTGGCCACATCCTTCTACAACAAGCTGAAAAATGTCTCCCTTAAATGTCTCCGTGAAAAACGTACATTTGGGAGCAGTCAGGAGGTCCTGCTGGGCTACAGGAGTTCTTGGAGCCACAGCAGACGCTTAATGGAGGAGAGAAATCACCCGGGCAGCAGCATGACCAGTTTCTGAGCAACGTCTTTTCAAAGTGCCTGTGTATGACATTAATTAGGCAGCGCGTCTCCCTCGGCCTTGTGGTAACAGTTTCGTTCAAATTTCCCATTACCAAGGCTTTGTTTCAGATTATAAATCAATGGCCCAGCACGAGGGTGGAGTTCATCTCCCTGCGAGCTCAGGCCAAGGCTGTGCTTTACAGCGAGATGGAGCACACATACTATGTCCTGGAGGCCTTTGCCTATCCCAGCACTTCAAAAAAAGAAAAAAAGAACATATAAAAAGACTTAAAACCAGCTCCAGCTTTGCTCTGGGAAAAGCAGGTTCTGTGCAGAAAAAGGCTTAGCACAGATTGTGCAGCCTTCACCCAGTGCTGGTGCTGAGAGCTCCCCACAAGCAGCTCCAGAGCCCAAAGCACATGGTGCAGCCTGACCCCAGTGCCAGGGGCTGAGCAGTAACCAATAAGAACCTGACACTAGTGGGTTTTTGCCCCCCAAACTCCCCCTGACTCCTGCAGAGCAAAACCAGACTGGCCCAGAGAAGAGAAAAGATGCTCACATTATTGGGACAGTTGATGTGGCCCTTCTCCTTCACTTCATTCTTCCAGCTTTCCAGCAGCCTTGGATTCAGCTTTGGCAGTCCTGGCCGGGTGTAGTTGAGCTGCAAACAGTGGGAGATGATTACTGGAGTGGCACGCACCGGTCCCATCCTTGGTGGAGTCCTTGGGCAAAACCAAATGGCTTTTGCCCCCACCATGGAAGTAAAGTGGGGCCAAAAATGCTTTGGGAAGCTGCCCTACAGGATGTCACCCCCTGGGAGTGGCTCTCCTTCCACCAGTGGAGGGACAGGACAGCAGGAATAGCAGGGCAAGAACCGTGGCCACCTCTGTGGTGACAAGTCTCTCGTGCTCCTACTCCCTGGGCACATACCCCATTGCTGCATGGGGCCAGACCCTGTGCTATTGGTGCCCTATGTCACAGCTGCCCTTCGGCCATGTTTCATAATCCACAGAACAAACAGCCCTGCACACTGGGCAGAGGGAATGATGCCAAGTTTGAAGAGCCTCCATGGCTGCCTTCCACCCATTAATGAGCAGAGCCTATTAAACAATGAAAGGCTCTTGTGTCTCTGCCTCTCCTGGCAGGGCAGCTCTTCCCAAGTGCTTTTAATTACTACTTTATTAGTGACTTGGAGGTTTAGCACAGCGGGCTGGCCCTTCCCACTCTGTTTCTGCATGTTCAGCACACACAGGAGCAGCTGTGGCACCTCGTGCCCAGTGCCCGCCGTGGCACATGGCCCTACCTGTGAGTATATGCTCCATGGGGGCCGCAGCACAGAGCTGCCCTTGGCCATATGTGTGCCAACAGGAGCTCTGCAGGGATGCTGATCATGCCCTGAACTCCCAGCTTGCTTGGTGGCAGAGCATGGCAGGGTGAGCTTACAGGTCGCAGTGAGTGGGTGCAGGCACCTGAGCAGCTTTAGGGCCACGCAGCTCTACTGGCACACTGATATATTCCTGCTCTCCGGAGAGGAGACGCGCACAAACCACGCTTGCAGAGAAGTGCAAACCCAAGCTGTTTTATCCAAGTGTGCACGTCAAACTCTGCACTCCCGTTTCTGACAACGCAGGGAGGTGGCTGGCTGTATTTCTTTCCCAGTTGTGACTTTTCCTGGATGTGCTGATAAGCAGCAGATTTGCCTTTGTCCAGCTGGGTCAACCCTGAGCGTGCTGCTCCAAAACCTCCTCCTCCTTCCCACTGAGCCTGAGGTACTGGTGATGGGGAGGTTTGGCAGTAGATGTTGTCACATCAACCCAGGAGGTCCCTTCTGCCCTCACCTCGGCACGCAGCCAGGGAAGGGAGAAGGGGCAAAGGGACTTGCGAAACGGCGGTAGGGACGTTACTAAGGATGGATGTGGAAATATGCCCCAAGGCCTGGTGTGCTGTGGTTCTGTCGTGCTCTGCAGCCACGAGGATGCCAGCAGAGCTCTTTGAAGCACTGGGATGGTGCTCGTCAACCATTCGGGGAAGGCAATGCCACCTCCGGCGGAGAACACAGGGCTCCCTTTTTGTCATTGATGCTGAGAGCTGGGATGCCAGCCGGCCTCCTTAATTAAAAGCCAATCAATCCCATGAATGAGCAAACATTAATGGTAACCGCACACAGCCCCAGCAACAACCTCTCCCTCTGCGTGTCCCCAAGGAGGAGGTGGGGGGGGATGCTCAGAGATGCGGATTCTGCTGCTCCGGATCCCACTGCAGAGAAGAATCCCTCCCCGCTCCGCTCCAACAGGCACTGCACAATAACATGCAAACCCCATGCCTTCCCAGGGCGCTGCGGTTCTAGGAATGTCAAAGCCATCTTTATGTCTCTATTAAGAAGGAGCCCCAGGCATGGAATATTTTATTTTCTACCATTTATTTTCCTCAAACAGCCCGTAAGTGAAAATCTTCATGGCCAAATCATTAAACGACTACAACTGGTTTTGGCCACGGCCCATCTCCCCTGAACAGTTGAAGGATGCTAGGGTGGGAAGGCTCGTTCTCTTTGACTGACAGTTTTATTTAATTAACTTTCATATTTCCATCCTCTCTGCTCCCTAGACAGCTCTCCCCTTCCCCAAAATATATTGCGACAAATGAGAACCATGTGTTCTGCCTCGGCCTCAGCCAACATCTTCCCCTCGAACAGACCTGCCGCGGCACGGGGTCCGCAGCCCCTCGGATCGCCCCGTGCTCCTGCCCCATGGAAACCACAGCTCATTCCATCCTGGAGGCAAAGCCAAAGCACAGTCGGTGGTGGGCCGGAAGCTGCTGCAATGCACAGGGCAGCTCTGCCACCCAGCCAGAGCTCTCAAGAGAGGGCAGGGAGGAAGGACAGGTCCCCCATGTGGTCCTCACCCGACCTTGCACTGGGATCTGGCTCGGCCCACCAGTGAGATGAGTTTGCAGGGCTCAGCCCAGCTCCAGGACTTCTGCGGGGATTGCAGAGCCATTGTGTTGGGAGATAGATCTCAGCCAGATTTTTCTGGTCTAGAATGTATTCTGGTTCCAGTATGGGGTTTTCTTAAAGACTCAAGCCCGCAGATGACTTTTGCCCTCCAGCTTTCAAACTGGCCTACACCAGCCCGTTGCTGAGAGCAGTGACTCTGCCAGCACTCACAGCCCTGGCCTGCCTGGCCATGCATGAGAGCAGCCTGGCACTGCAGTGCCATGCAGATCCTGTGCCATGAGCAGACCCCAAAGGCTGGGGATGGGGGGCACACACCCCCACCTCATCCACCACATGAACCCAACAGCTCTGGCACAGAGCTCAGCTGGGACCAGACCTTCCCTTCTCGCTGCAACCAGAAATGAGGCACCTCACCTGAAGCTGTCACCGATTAATAACTCATTAACCCAGCAGTCTAAAGCAGCTTGAGTAGAGCAGGCAAGCAGTTCTCTCCAGGAGCAAGCACAAAAGCAAACTGTTCCCTAAAGAGTCCAGGAAGGACCAGGGTATGGGGCCAGAGCTCATTGTGGCAAAAAGACATCCTTCCTCTAAAAACCTCTGAGAGCACAAACTGCTTCACAGGGATGCAGAGGAAGCATCAAACCATGACCTAGCTGAGTTTCCACAGTGTTTTCTTCCATCTCTCCTCTTCTCTACGGGGTTGCTTCTCTGAAGCCAGCCTCCAAAAAGGGTCAGGGCATTCCCCTGCAGACAGGGATTGCAAAGCCCAGGCAGAGGTAACTCCCAACCTCTCGCTCCTCCTGCCCAAAGCTGGAATCCTCCTGCAGCAGCACTGGGTCAGAGCTGAGCCTTACAGTGGGTAGGTGTATGGTATAGTGGGTAGGGTGCTAGATGGCTCCAGCAAAGGCCAGACGAGATTCAGAGGATCAGCAACATCTTCACGGAGCTTCTGAAAGGGGATTTTTCCCAGAAAAGCAGCAGGGGTGTGTCCTTCCCCATCTGACATCCTCAGCAAGCGGCCGTTGTGAAATACCCCATCTGTTTCAGCTTATCCAGAGGCAAATAAAGATCAGCGCGAGAAAATAAGACTCCAGTGTATATTTAGAAGTGCTGGATTTGGTTAGTGCAGAATGAAGGCATTGCAGGGCCTGGGATCCGAACAGCAATCGTTTATTCTGATGCCATTGCTTTGGTGCGAAGGAATCCATCCTCCTGGGAAAAGGCGAATGCATCTCACCATGGGCCACCAACGGGATCCGGAGCCACAATCCCTTCCCGGCCAGGACCAGCTGTGGCATGAGGGCTGCAGTGGGTCACTGGGAGCTTGGGGACAGAGCTCCAAAGCAAATGGTGAGCAGCACATCCAACCATCGCTGGGTGTTGCCTGGAGCTGGGAAGCATCGATCCATCTGGGATGCCGCAGATCTTGCAGAGATGGCATTGGTGCAGCGGCAATCTGCTGCTGGCCTCCAACATCTCACCTCTCCGTGGGTCCAGCGAGGGGCCTGTGGGTCAGCAGCATGCATCCAACAGCTGGAAACAGCCCGTGGGAAGAAGAGGTGGAGGTGTGCTGGGAACCATCTGCCCTGGTCATGGTTAGCCTGCATTTGTCTTTCTGCAGCCCCAGCGGCTGTGGGTTTGTCAGATCCCTCGGAGGGACTGCCACAGCTTGTGCTCAGCAGCAGTGCTGGAGCAATGCAGAGGGATGCAGGGATATAGGGATGCTGAGCTCTGCTCCTGTGTAGTCCAGGGCTGGACCCACTGCAGAACAGTTCTGCCAGCACGGCTGAAGCTGATCCTGAGGAAACAGCTATTTTGGGGCTGTATTTGGGATGCTGGGATGTTCTTCCATACACTTAACTGAAGTACCTTTTAAACACAAATTGGTCCTGAGTGATGCAAGGCGCTACTCGGCAGTGCCGGACCCAACAGAGCTCCCACTGTCTCCCACCTCCCCCAGCACTGCGCCTCAAGAAAAGATGGCACAGACTGAGCAGCTGATATTTGAGAGTGTTGTCAAGGAAACGTGACAGCCACTGCAAGACGTGCCCAGAGACAGACACTCACAGCTACACACGCATTTGCTCCCTGCACTGACCTCAAATTTGTCTGTGCAACACAAACCCGGCACAGCTGGGGACAGCAGGGACAGCAGTATGTGCAGGGCTCAGGGTCGCACTCCTTCAGACCAAGGGCCTTGTTTGCCACCTGGGATCTGGTCCAACTCCCCTCTATCTCGTCTTCAACCCGAGTCTGCTTCCACCATCCTCCCTGCGTGTTGTTTTCTTAGCACTGATGTGGGGCTCACATAAAACAATCAGACTCTGAACGTGAAACATCTCATAAAAAGCACGAAGGAATGTCATGGTGCAGCTGTGCCAGGGGCTGAAACCCTTCCGATGTCTTTGTACACTCACGCATAGGTCTGGTGTCCAGTACCCAAAGTCAATAGAAAGGAGGAAAAGAAGAATGAATGCATGAAGGGAGGAAGGACAGCACAACACCTCTCTTCCCTGAGGACTGCAGAGCATTTTAAATGAAACAGCTCCTTTGGGCTTGGTTATTTTTATGCTATAAATGCATTACAGCTGAAGTCATCTGGAAACACATTGGGGAAATCAAAAGTGTTTAGTGAGCACTAGCTCTAAACCTTCCAATTCTGCTCCAAGACGGGTGGTGGCACCATGGCCTGATCCTTCTCTAAGCTGGGCACCTCATGGAGATGCCAAGACACATAAGAATGATGCCAATTTTTTGTGTGCTAGCTTCCTGCCTGCCTGCTGCATGTCAGTGAGCTCAGTGCCTCTGCAGGACAATATGCCAAGACCACACAATGCAGGACAGAACATGACAGGCTGCAGTAGTGAATAGGCACTTCCACTGCTAGGTGGGCTGCTCAGCAATACATTTACCATCACTACTAATTCACTGAATACACGGCATACAAGACGTGAGGGCTCAGCCACCTGGGGCCACGCTGCCCTTCCAGGATCTCTGTGTACACCTAGCCCGAAACAAGGAGAAAGCAAATCCTCCTACCCGCTTAGTTTCGGGTACCAAGTCGTCCTTCATCCTCCGTTTGGTCCAGTCCCTGGCGAGCTCATCCTCTGCTATCTCCTGAAGGTGGAAGACGGCCACTTGAGCCGATGTGCGACGGATGCGGCCACTCGGGGTCCTTTCAAAATCCTCTATGGGGGGGGGCTCTGGCTTCACCTCTGGCTCCTCTGGTGGCTGCAAAAGAGATATTGCTATGAGCAGGGGAGAAGAGGTGGGCTCCAGTCCTGGGATGCGGATACTCAGGTTCAGGTTATGTGTTTGCCAACCTGCAGTGTGCCGGAGACGGCTGCAGAAACATCAGCACCCCAAGCTGGGGACCACAGGCACACACTCAACTGCCTCCTCCCACTGCCAGCCAAGCTGAGCACTGGGCTGATGGCATTCCTCCATACTCTCGGCCTTCATATGTGTACAAACATCCCCATTTATTAGTTACAGGGTTATCAGAGTCAGACGCAGTGTTAGCAGGGATCAACAGAACAGAAAAGGATGCTCCCCAGGGACGGATCCCACCACTCCAGGGCTTGTGAGTAGCTGGCCCTGAGGACACAGTCTGATCTTTGTTTTGCAATCACAGAGCTGGCTGGAGGATAGAGGAATTGCTGGTCTCTCCCCTCACTTTAAAACAGCTTCCTGCTTTAGAGGAGTGGGGAGGGTTGTTGCTTGCTCCCCACCTAAACCGCATGGTGCCACACACACGCATGGTAAAGTGAATGGAGAGAACAACATCAGTCTGACGTCTGCACCTGCCTTGCCTGGCCCGGCTCTGCCCGGCTCGCTCCTGCCCACAGGCTCTGCAGCTCTGCAGTCACCCCCAGGGAGGGATGGCCCCACTTCTCGGGCGGCGGAGGTGTCCGGGGGGCTCACTGAGGCCGGGTGTTCTGACCGTACATGGTAATCGTGGCCAGCCTTGGATTTGTATTTCTTCCCGCAGTGTGGGCAGCTGAAGACAGGCTTGTCAGCCTCGGCGAGCTGCTTCCCACAGCGCTTCTGGTGGTACTGGTAGCCCATCAGGCTGGAGAAGTTGGCTGCGCAGCCCTGCAGAGGTGGGGCAAAGAGAGGGGTGAGGGAGGGCTGTGACAAAGCGGTTACGGTGCCATTGATCTGGGCACGGCTGGGACACGTCCTGCTCTGCAAACCCCGCTGAGACACGGGGGATCACCAGCCCCAGTGACACGGAGAGGCAGAAGGAGCAGTCCCAGTGCCCCGTGCTACCTGCCCTGCTCTGACACACAGACAGGGCTCCCCAGACAGACAGACAGACGGCGGGCAGGGAGCAGCGAGTGGCAGGCAGGCATTGCCAAGTATGCTACGCAGAGAGCAAACCAGCTGCAGAGACAAACCTCAGCCACACGCCCCTGTTACCTGTTCGTGACTTGTCTGCAACCGCCCTGTCACCATTTTGGTGCTGTTCGGTTGATTTTTACACTGTGCCCAGGACAACACCAGCAGCCCTGTGCCCCTTGCTGGGTTCAGGAGGCAGAACTCGGACTTCAGTGCTCCTCAACCCGCTCTGCTGCCACCCTCCTACTGGGAGCCAGAGGGATGGGGATGGGGACAGGGACAGGGACAGCTGAGCTAAGGCAGAATCGTGTGCAAAGTCAAGAGCACACCAAGGGATGCCCAGAGGACACACGTCCCCTCTGCACTGGGACTCACTCCTTCCATCTTCTCAGAGAACAAGAAACAGGAATCGTTCTTATACCTCATTGGGGCATTTCAGTTTTCCCATCTGCTTTAGCACTTTCCTCAGCCTTTCCCGCTCTTCCTGTTCACCAAGGGCAGCGGTTTCCACAGGAACAGGCTGGAAACAAGGAAGTAACAGAAGCGACAGAGTCAACCATTTACTCATGTCCTCTGTGCCAGGAGTGGGGGGTACAGCCCTGCCTCACTGCAGCTGTGAACCTCGCGCTAGGTCTCCCACTGCTTTGAGCCTTCGCTGTTCAACACCAGATTTGCTCATGCATTTTCTGTGTTTGCACTGAAAGGGTTAATTGAGAAATGAATGAGCAGTTCCTGCGCAAAGAAGGCACCAGCCAGGCTAAAGAGCAGGAGATGAATGCACAGGTTAAAGACAAGTCACAACTGGTAAGCACGGGACATGTAGAAATATGGTTATGCCTTGCCCTGGTATCTCACAGGCAGACACAACTGGCTTGTTAAGCACAGCACCAAAATAGCTGCCTGCCAGACTTTGTTCACAACCAATTTTATTGCTATTTCTCATGTAAACGGTGGAGAGCAAAACATCGGATTTTGAGACTTGTGCAAAGCAGAACCCATCAGTGCTGGGTGTGTGGGCACAGTTTTGGAGGCAGAGCTTTGCCACTCAAAATCCACCTCACCATACTCTGAATCTTCCCCCATTCTGGGATTTGAATTCCTGTCTTATTTTTCCAGTTCTCTGGTCTTTTCCCAGGGATCAACATTAGTTTAACTAGCTGCCTGGGAATGAATGGCTTTGCTTAGCAAGGGTAAGGCTATCATCTGGACTAAGCAGCATGCAGGACACTGCAGAGATGGTGTTGTGAATCCCTCCTTTGTAAAGACAAAGGAAAGTGGAGAGTTGATTGCTTCCTCTTCTGTATGTGCATCTTTAGGAAGAGAGGAGAAATGAGGTGTGAGATGAGAGCTGCTCAGCTCTCTTACCTTGCTGACGTGTTCAGCCATGGTGTGGTAATTCAGCCCAGCTTTGGACTTGAACTGCTTTTTGCAGTGTTGACACTTCAAGGCATCCTGCAGCTGAAGGAATCAGAGGCAAGTCACCATGGAGGCCCCGACACCTTCAGTTCTCCAAGGGTTGCTCATCAGTGAGCCCCATGGGCAGCCACTGCTGCACCAGTACCAGTGGTGGGACCCAGCAGACAACTCAGCACCCCGTCCTCCCGACCCAGTTTGAGCCTGCAGTTCAGCTTTCTCTTTGTTGGCCTGGATCTCTCTGTAATTTGGATGCTGTTATCAAACCCATGTGCCCCAATGTTTGGAAAACATTCAATTTTGCATGTAGATTTAAACCCCACTGGCTGGAAACATCTGGACCTGGTGTCTTCCTGTGAGAGGGTCAGGACAGAGAAGCAGCTTTGATCTACTGACATGTGAGAGCCTCTTCTCTGCAAAGCCCCTATTAACCATGACAGATGCTGGTGTATGATGTGCTTTCTGGGTGTCTGAACTGTTTACAATTAAGACACTGCAGGACACAGTCACACATACACTTCTCATGTTACTCCACTGTTTGACCCAGCTTGGTCTCCTGAATGATGCACACACTGATGCAGAAGGGGATCTTGGAAAGTGAGTAAGCGAGTGATGACTTTTGCTGGGGCAAGTACAAGAATTTATTGACTCAACAGGGGAATGCTCTGAGCTCTAGGAGACAGGATGTCTCAGCAGGGAGACTGCATTGGGATGGCTGTGGTTGTTCCTGCTCTTCCTGTCTGGAGGATGCTCCACCTTCAGCACAGACCATTCATTCAAACCTGGCCTAGAAGCTGAAGGGGAATGCAGACGGAGTTGCAAATCCCTCTTCATCCTGGAGCTCTTGAAAACGAAACCTCACAGTAGCCAACTGGAAATGACTCACTTGTACCTCTGCTCTGATGGGTTAATCTTGTTCCAGATCGCATCACCAATCCTAACAAGGTCAATGCTAAAAGAGCCTTAACTCACCAGATGCCAGTGCCAGTCACTGTAGGGCTTACTGCTCTGGTTAACACTGAAGAACACAATACGTTCATATCCTAATAAACTCTCTCACTTGGGATGCTGGCAGGATATACCTGCCCTCAACTCCTTCAGATCCAAGCACGTTGCAACCCTTCCTATCCCTTATTTCCTTTCCATAATCTAAGGAAAGAAGGCATACTTCAATCTAATGTTACAGCAGAGAACAAATGGAGAGGGTGCCTGCACTCCAGACTCATTTCTGATGGGAGTAGCTCAAGGCACAGCTATTCCATAGGCTCACTGCAGAGATGCTGCTGGGAAGTGGAACTGCAGCCACACACGGAGACTGTCCTTATTGGGCCACAGACTGCTCTGGCAGGGATGCTGTGAAGCACCCCAGCTCCTTGAGTGACAGTTACCTCAGGAGTGACTGTGCCTCATGGGAAAAAGGAGCGGCACAGCCGTTCCTACAGCAGGAGTCTGCAAATCCACCAGGGCTGGTGTGTCTGTTCTCACAGCCGGAGCACAGGTGTGCCCTTTTAGGCAGGTATGGTTCTGAAGGCCATTGTGATTCCACTAAGCTTGGCAGGCTGTGCAAGCCCCAATTCCTCGGCTAACACCCACATGTCTATTTATAGAGGGGAAGACAGGCCTGATGGCTCTCAAAGATCTGCATTCGGCAGGCTGGCTAGCCTTGCAGCCCACGCGGAGCCTGCCTGGCTAGGGAGCTGCTTGGAAAGCACAGAGATAAGAGATAAAATGGCCAAGATCTCCATTCCACTGAAGCCAGGACACTAGCAGAGGCAGGACGCTGCTTGGCATCAATGTAATGCATGGTTTGGAAGGGATAATAGCCTCTCACTGCCATATAAATAGTGAGGCACAGGCTGAGGAAGCATTTACAGAAAATGAATGTGGAATCAAAGCTGAGCAAAGTATTTTCAGAGTGGGAGGCATTGATCCCATGGCTCCCATGTTTGGCTTTCTGTGGCAGTGGCTCTGCACCACACCAGGTGATGGATGAAGACGTAATCCTTTGCTCTGATGGATGGTGGTGTGGCGGAGAGACAATTTTTCTCTGCACCATTACTAAACTCCTGCATCTCAACAGTCTGCCCGAGCACACTCAGGCTTGGTATCTCACTGAGACATGCTCTCATTCAACCACAATTTATCTGGCCTGATGCAAGGCATAACACAGAGCGAAATCCTGTAGCCAGGGCTCTGTAGGAGGCCAGATTAGAGACAACCCCAACAATCTCTCCAGCCTTGAAACTATTCATTTAGCTACTAGAAATACCCAACTCTGCTGGAGATATGGCAACAAGGGGCCAAGACCACAAAGGGATTCTGAATTGATGAGAATTAGGTGTCCATATCCCCCTGTGAATTCATATATCAAAGTGAGGCAGCCAGCTCTCTGAAGACGACTAGCAAGTGCTCTATCAGCCACAGCCCAGAACTGGTTTTAGAAATACCAATACGCATTTAAAAGCAGCGCATGCACACAGCCAATCCCCTCCAAAATCCAGATCTGTGTGACTGAGTATGGCAAGCTCTTACTTTCTGGCAGACATCCATATGCTTTTTGAGCCCAACGATGGTTTTCCTGGTTATAACACTGCAGGTTGGACAGGCAACTTCTCCCTTCTCACTGATTTCCCGCTGCCACTGGTCCTCGGGATTTGCTGGTGAGAGAGAGGAGGGAGGTGTGACACCCAGGGACAAGCAGAGAGCACCCATAAGCCTGGGTTGGTCATGTTGAAAGGTACTGAAGCAGGAAAGTTTGTGATGTTTAAAAGACAGATATTTATATGCACAGGCCAAAGCAAAGCTGGACAGAAATCATGCATGTGTAAATCATGCCTGTCCCTCTGCTCCTGCAGCTGCAGCAAACAGGGCCAACGGGTCACTGATGTGGGGTTACATGACCTGCTGGCACTTTGTGGTATTTCACATTTCTATTCCCTGCTGGTATTCTGCTTACTGGGAGTTACAATGCCTCTCATCACCTGAACTTGCCCTGCTCAGAATAACTCCCTCTTGCCAAATAAAACAATTAGCGGAAGTGAAACAAAGGTGAGTGCCTCGGCTCCATTTAGATGTGTGCCTGGAAAGCTTCTCTGGCATTTCTTTTCCCAACAGACACACATGCTGTTAGGGGAGTGTTGTCTTCCAGGGGTGTGTTTATTTAAATGGCCAGGTCCAGCTTAAAAACACCTACAATAAAGGATACGTGCAGCCAAAACCTGCGCCCAGATCCAGATTTCATGCCGTGTTCTCAGCAGAACTGTGCTGGGTTTCATGCAAGGGAAGCCTGGTCTGAATAAAATCCGCCAAGTCTGTTTATTTGGATGCTTTTGCATGGCTGTGAGATCACAGAGTCGTTTATTTAAATTTGAAACCAGTGCAAGGTACTGCAGCTGTATTTATCTTGCACATCCTGCGTTCCTCCTGCTGTCAGAGCTCCCAGGGAAAGGCAGCCTGTGCTAGGTTGTAGGCTGCACCCTGGAGGCTCCAGGAAGACAGAGTCATAGTCAGTTATATGTTGGCATTGTTCATGGAGATGAAGTTACAAAAATGCCAGCATCCCAGGAGCTGCTTTGAACTGTGGGCACACTGAAGCCAGGTGGAACCAGGATCTGGCTGCTAACTCTCAGCACTTACAGTGAACCCATCTATCCTCACAGTGACTACTTTTAGGATGTCAGCTGTGACACTAAGGTCAGCCTGCTACACCTCAAAAGGGCAGGAACTATCTGCTCCTATTCGTAGTCTTGTGCTGGATCTAGCTTCTGCTTTTGCTCACAAACCTGCAAGAAAACTCATTCAGTACAGAGGCTGCCGGACCAGGAGAGATGCAGGGATCACAAGCTGTGCAGGTGGGCAGGCTCAGTGCAGAGCAGAGGACCGAGCTGCTAAGCAGCCAGGCTGCATGCAGAGCTGCTGCCTCTGCTCTGCCTCCACCAGCCTTACCTGCTGGTAGGTGCACAGCTGCTTCCTTCTTCACACCAGCTCCTGGAGGTTTCTTTTTCAGCTCCTCCATGTTGGTGCCCCCCTCCAGCTTCTTGGCTCGATGGGCTTTTGCCTTGTCCTCTGCTTTTACAAGACCTGTAGAAAGAAGGGATTTTGTTCAACACTTGCTTTAATAGCATCAGACCACCTTACACATAGCAGGATAAATACCTGTACTTCTGCATAGGTACAGTGAGATAGGTGTAGGTTTGGCAAGGCTGTACGTGTAGGACCACATCCGCAATTATAACAGACAATGTTATAATTAGCATGTGGTGCTCTGTAAACTGAAATAATCATTTCTCTCAATCCTCACAATTTAGGAACTGCAGAAACATCATGGCAAAGCAGATAGATTGCTTCTGGCAAGGGAGACCAGGAAGAAGACATCCTGGAGAGAAGGCAAAAGGCCATTCTGCAATAAACCAAAAGAGGCAATTGAACAGCAAGTTCAAGATATAAAAGGGATGCTCCTGCTGGTGAACTTGCACTGGAAAGACCTAGTGCTTCCTCCAAAGAATGAAGATTCCTTTTAGAAAACTGGGCGAACTGGGTTCCCAGACACCATATCCCACAGGACCTCTCACCACTAGCTCTCTACACAACTGTCATGATGGACACAGGTCTCTCCTGGTCCTCCTGGCTTCTGGGAAAGTGAGGAAGGACAAAAGGGGAGAAGAGGTGACCTGGCAACAGGAACACAGGAAGAAGAAAGAAGAAACCTAGCACAGTCCACTTGGCTGGTGGCAACCGTCACTGAGCTGCCTGCAAACCAGAAAGGGCTCTGAAAGAATGATTTGGGAGAGGGACTCGAAAGCAGGGCTCTCCATACATGCAGAAACAGCACCCCATGACCTTAGTGGCACCCTTGCTCCCAGGGAACAAACTTTGTTGTGTTACAGATGGTATGTTGAGCCACAGGGACACTGGGAAATGCCTGCTCTATTTCAGTTTCCATTTGAGGCAGTAGGCCATGGGGGAATGGGCTTATTCACAAGGAACCCACAGCAGACATTTCAGTCTGTGGCAGTGTCTCTGCGGGGAAGTTAAGGGAAACAAACCCAGACTTCCCAGGAGCCAGAGGACAGGAAATCACAGAGACCACATCCCATCTGCTCTTTGGTAAGTGTGTTTAATTCCTTCAAAGCCATTAGTGCTTCTCCCCCAGGACTTGTACTGGAAGGTGCTGCCTCCTCCAGTGCCTAGAAACGCATGTTTTATTTCCTCAGTTGAATGAGTTTCATAGCCAGCACGAATCCAGTTGCTTTCAAGCTGGGGGTGTTCCAGGTTTCCTCCCTCCATACCCAGCTGAGTGTGCTGATGGAGCACGACCACAGTCCCACTCACTCTTGCTTTGTCAAGCTGAAGAAGCCAAATTCTGAGTCTCCTCTCAGAAAAGATCCCAGCAACGCATCTCTTCCCCCTTGAATTCATTTTCTGTAATGTGGGCGACCAGCACTGGAGACAGTCTGAGGAATGGATGCGTCACCATTCTACTCAGCAGAAATCATTTTCAGCTCCACTGGCAATACTGTGGCATCCCAAGCCAGAGATCGCCTGCCTCACAGCTCACTGGTGCCAGCAGCTCTTTACTCTGTGTTACAGACTTAACCAGGTCCTTCCCTCTCTTCCTCATTTTCCAGGAAAGGCTCCCAGGAAGAGCAGATTGGGTTGGTATCAATGATAACAATGTTACTGCCTTTCATTTCCTTTCTTTTCCAACTCTCTTATGGTCAAAGGCACCAGTTCCTCTGCCATGACATCTCTGTGCACAGTGGCTCCCCCTTTGCTTCTACCATAGGGAAGGCTCTCAGGGAAAGGGCTTGAAATGTCCTGTAGCTTCTCCCTGAAACGTCCCAGAGAGATACTACAGACCACAGCTGATCCATCCGTGTTACCTTTTAATCCAAATGTTCCCGAGATGGACGGTTGCTCCCCCGTAAACTTCTTAGGAGTTTTCTGTTTCCTTCCTGACTCAAAAGAGAGAAACAGAGAGAGAGATTTGGTCAAATACCCTTACTGCCAGGTGGATTTCAGCTGTCCCAGGGCCAGGGCTGTACACACACTCCATGTCAGGAGGAAAGGGTTCATCCCAAGGAAGCCTTTACCACTATGAAATAAAGGAGATGCTGAATGCAGCAGGCAGCCTAGTGAACGCTAACAGGATTCTGCTTCACACACCACAAAACTAGAAGTCATAGTATCTAAGGCCAATTCAATGACGGAAGCCAAGGGTTCTGTCCAGTGCCAAGAGCCTCACAAGCTAAGGAATTTGGTGCTGGTTCACTTGGGGAGCTGCAAGCAGTGCAAACCCATGCTATGACAGGGGTAACCATGGCCTGGCTCAGTCCAGCCCTGTCTGCCAGCCACACAGTGCTAGTAAGAGCTTCCTGACACCCAACAGGTAAGGAAAATGTGTTTGTCACTCAGCCTGGTTTAATGCCACACTCAGGATAGAGAAGCTGACTAAGCAGCTCGCTATGCTGCAGTAATTCAATCCATGTCCAACCCCACGGGTACTACAGAAATACCTCTACTATAGCTACTACCTGTTTTTAACTCACAGTGAAACTCACTGCTGCGAGAAACCATGGGAGCAAATTAGCAGGATGTTAAAAAAAAGGTTTAATTACATCCAGAAACCTTCAGCAGCATTCACTGGATCACAACCCTGACCCTTCCCATGGGAACCCTCTCCCCTGGGCTCCTGAATCAGCATAGCCCCAGGCTCTAATCTTACTGTGCTTCATCCTTTCAGGGTCTTCCTCCTGCAGTGAGGCCTGGCTGCCCCCCTGCTGCCCGCCATCCTTGCCACTCGAGGACTTTGCTGTGGGGGTGGCAGCTGCAATTGCCTCGGCTGCGGCGATCTGAAACTCCTTGCTCTCCCGGCTCTCTGCCGGGCATTCGCCATTCTCAGCATGATCCTGGGACACGGCTTTTTCCGTCTTTGCCTGTTTGGGATGGATGGTGGGGCAAGCTGAACTCTCAGCAGCTCTAGGGCAAAGCACAGAGGGCTTGTTTAAAGAGGGGTTGAAAGACACATGTCCTGACACTTCTCCCCACTCCTAATCCCAGACCACGGGAATGGAGGCTTCCAGCCATTCCTATGCCACTACCACACAGCCCAGCCGCAGCCCGGTACCTTTTCTTGCCGCTGCTCTTCCCAATGGCCTTCTGCACTTTGTTTTCTGTTTTGCTGGCTGGCACTGGTCGGTCCAAGTGATTCCAGAGACGATGTTTTTCCAGCTGAGTTTTGGAACTGAAAGCAGCTTCGCAGTACGAGCACGAGTACGTCAGCTTCTCCGAGATTGCGCCCTGTGTGGAGAGGGAGTGAAAGGTGGGCGTGGATGTCAGACCTCAGCAGAGCCAGGATTTTTCTGATGCAGTTATGGACACAGTGTGTAATAATACCCTTCCCCTCATAGCAGTTCCCAAAGGCCCACATTCCCTCCAAAATCACAAGTGACCCACTTGTAAGCACCTTCCAGCCTGTCCCTGGCCCATCTTTGTCCTCCCAATATTCATCCCATGTTTCTCATAGGGTATAAGGCCTGAGAGCAGCTTTACCCTGTAGACTGCAATGTAAAAGGCCACTGGGAATGATACATGGCCCTCTGGTCTCCTTACCCCTTGGCAGCGCTGATAGTGGTACTTCAAGCCATAAATGCTGGGAAACTCCAGCCAGCAGCCTGAATTGGGGCATTTCACCCTGGAGTGGGCTTTGAATTCATCCTTCCACTGGTTCATCAGTGGGAGCTGGGAACAGGAGAGATGAGAGACGCAGCTGAGCGATGAGCACCTTGTGCCTGGGGGTGCACCGCTATGTTCTGAGAGGTCCAGGGGCACAGATGGGACTTCTGATCATCCCTGTCCACTCCCAGTCCCCTCCCAATGGTTTCAGTGCTCCCTCTCACCTGTGAAAGACATGGGGATGGGGCCATGCATTGCAGGCTCTGCAGGCTCTCAGTTTCCCCTGAGAATTTACCTTGCTGTGCCTCCGAGGCACACAGCATGCTCCCAGCCAGGCTGGGGAATAAATCAGACCAGAAATTGCCTGGGTGATTTAACTACCCCACATTTCATTTGGGTGGTAAATCACACTGTGCCCATTCCCTCACGACTAACTGCTCTGTGCGTTGTCCACGCCGGTGTGCTGGAATTAAACTGCAAGATTCTAGGGGGAATAAATCAACCAGTGCTCCCTGATCGTTAGCCAAACCCGAGGTGGCTGCAAGAGAAATGAGCTCATCTGGGAACAGCACTGGGAAGGGGAGTTTGAAGGGGTACTGTTCCCCACCAGGGTTTTGTAGGGTGCTTAGCGATGCTGTGCACTCACACAGAGGGGATACAGGACCCAAGATCCTGCTAAGCGCACTAACATGCTGCTCTGAAGACTAAACCACCTGAAAGGAAGGTTTAACAGAGCAGGGCTGACTGTAGTGGGTGGTGCAGGGAGCAAGGCAGAGGCAGAGAACCACATCGGGGATCTTACAGGGATGTCTTTCAGTGCCTGGTTCTCGGCCTTGGGTCGTCCTTTCTTCTTGCCCTCGGTTTTGTCACTGGTTGCATTTCCTGCAAACAAATGTAGCACAAGTCACCTTCTGCCCAGTCTACCCCATGGTGTCCACCCGGCTCTGGACTGTCCTGCCCAAGATGCAGATCCCCCTCTGAAGGCAATTCCAGCTTCCCTGCAACTCAGTGCAAAGTCCATGCACCTGCAGACACCTGAGCAGGAGGTGACTGAGCACGGTCCAGCTTTTCCTGCAGTTTGCAGACTGCTCTCCATTAATTTGCAGAAGAATAGCATTGAGTATTTTCAGCAGAGCTGAAAGCCATACTCCCATTTGAGTCAGATGGAAATCCTTCTATAACTATGCTACTTAGCAAAAGAAATCTGTGCGCTGAACCAGCTGTTGAACACAGAAATCCCCTGTTAACTCTGCATGGTTGGTGGGGCTGAGCTGCCCTGGGGCTGCAGGACACTGACTTCCACGGGGAGCATCAGGAATGGGAATGGCAGGGGTGAAGGACAAGTAAGGCAGTGCCTGGAGGGGCTCAGACCAGGAGGAGAGGTGACACAGACACCTCTGTGAGGGGCCATGGCTGTGTGTGCTCACAGCAAACTCTCACTGTCCCATCCAGAAACCTGCTCTGTTCAGCCAGATGCTGCGATGTTGTCACTACTTCCAAACAGCCAGAGAGATCATGAGCTTCCCAACATGGTGGTGTGGGGCACAACTGTGCCAAGTCCCAGACTGCACACTGAGACTCACAAGGACAGCAAAGTCCTGATTTCACCTAACTTGCAACAGGAAGGTATTGAGCCAAGTGGAACAAACACCATGACAACTTTCATCAGGGTTTGTATGCAGAGTTTGAGGAAGTTTCTCAAATCAATCCACTGTAACACTCTAACTTTCATCCTTCCTAGCTGGAGCCTTTAATCCTTCTGCTGTCACCCTGTGGGTCTGGAGAGCCTTGGTGAGGTGCTTCTGGGCAGGGGATCTATTCACTAGAACAATTCCAGGCTCACCTGACACATGCTCAGGTTTATCTCCACCATCAGAGTGCTGGCAGCCAGCTCACACCCCCCTGGCTCAGAAGAACTACAGCACAAGCAGCCTCTCCCAGAGGACCCAGCAGTGCTGATGGTGCCGCATGACTGCCCTGGCACCATGGGTGCTCTGCGCTGCTCAGTCCCTCTCCTTATGCTCTGCTTTTAGAGTCTAACAATTGCTAAGAGAAACATTCCAAATCAGGGCAATTTCTGAAAATAGAGGTCAGGCAGTTGAACTGAAGTGATGGAAATAGCAGGAAATAGAAATGGCAATTTTCTGACATAGATTTCAGCACGACTCATAGCTTGGCTGCAATTGTACAAAAGCCAACACATGGACAAAGGAGAGGCCCGGGAGCTCAGGCCGTGTTGTTACCCTGCTCCCTACTGGGGCATGTACAAATCTGCCTGCACAAGCACTTGTTGGCACAGCTCAAAAGGAGGAAGCAAAAGTAACAAGCAAGAGGAATGAAAATTGCCTGGTCAAAAGCAAGGCGATCAAAGCACTGCCAACTCTTCCTCTGGAGGCAAGCAGCACACGTGCGGAGCGTCAGCATGGCTGTAAGAGACCCACCTGAATGGAGAGATGGCTGCAAGGCTCCTTACATTGTCATGCTTTAAGTGATGCTGAGTCTCATGCACAACATTCAGACTGAGGTCTGAGAGGGCTTAATGAGAGGGATCAAGAATGAAAGCCATTTGCTACGACAACAGAACTAAGCTAAAAAGCATCCCAGAGAAGAAAACCCGAAACAGCTAGCGGAGGGTAACTGAAATTAAAAACTTCAACTAACTCAATATATAAAACACCCTTCCCTGGTGAAAATCAGATATGAAGAAGAGGCCAGAAGGCATGCCAGCAATGGTCCCAGCTCCTGAGCAACCAGAGCTCAGCTCCAAGCCTGGCACTGGTGGCACTCTGAAGCCAATCCTGGATTTCTCAGTAAGTGAGAGAGATGCTCTCTCACCTAAATGCTTCAAATAGAAAGCCATCCAGTTACCTACAGAAGCCCTGCCAAAACCATAGGTCTCTCCATTTTCATTCCTTCTTCCCCAGCAGCCAGAGGTAAAATAGCAAGCAAGACAATTTCCTCATTTATTTCCCAGCCCTCTGAAGCTGAGCCAGCTGGTCTGCTTCATTTTGGTACCCATAAAGGCATCATTTGGAGATGCTGCATCCCTCGGGAATCCCACTAACTCAGAAGGCCTCATCTACAAGAGCTGGCTGTACATGTACAACGCAGCAGCAACCTCTAAGGAAAATAAAAACTCCTAAAAAGCTGCCCACCTGGCCCTGCAAGGCAGCCTCACTGCTCCAGAGCTGCAGGGAAGACCTTGCAGGCTCACTCCCCCAAACTGCAGGCTTCGGAGCAGCATTGCAGGGCTCATTCCAAAACTCTCATAGAGTGGCTTTGAGGACTCTTGCTCACCACACCTGCCTTATGCCTCTTGCATTTTCAGTCTTGCTCTTACGTGCACGCTCAGACCACACACCCAGGCTTTTCCTATGTGCTTATGTAGGGAAGGACCTCATCCTCCAGGTGAAATGGAGCTACTGCACATCATGGGACTTTATGAGCTGGGAACCACATAATCTCACAATACAATAGTTAACTGCTATTCCTCTCCTTTTTTGGAGGTGCTTTCTCTCCTAAATGCTTCAAAATAACCCCAATTCAGAAGATCCCTGAGCGGCCAGAAGAGCACACCCCTATCTAACAGCCCAGCAAGCCCACAGCCACAGCTTGCCTTAGGCACAGCTCTTCTTTCCTTTCTACGACTTCCACAAGTTTCAAAACTTTTGGTAATGCTTCACGTCAATTAAGTGCATGAAAGCTCCCAGTCCAGATGCCTCTCAATGCCCTCACTGACCAGCTGCTAGTTGGGGACAGCATTAAGCCTTATTTATCCTGACAAAGGGAATTCCTATACTTGTCTCCACCCTCAGCACTTTCCCAGATATTGCAACAAGGTACCTTCATCATTCTTCACTCCACTGCATCACTTTCGGTCCAAGTAAATGAGAACGAAGGGCTGAAATGAAGTCTGCTCTACTTCTAAGGCGCTGATAAGATGCCACCAACCCTGGGTGCACGTACTCTCCGTGCTCAGAGCCACATGTGAGCCCCACAGAGGGGCTGAGAGCCTCTCCGCTCAGCAGAAGCAGACAGGAGAAAATCTCCTTGAGTCTGGAGATGCCTGAACAGTGAAATCCACCATCGATCAGAGCGACAGTGCATGGGTCCCCGAGGAGCTCCATCCAGGGGGTATGACACGGGAGGCAGCAGATGGCTGAACTCATTTCAGCCTTTCCACCCTTTCACATAACATTTAGCTACCACCATGATAAATAGACTTAGAGACACCCATCTCATTAGACAGATGCAGCCCATCCACACTCAGAGACAGAAAAGCAGTTCCTTACCCAGCCTGGGGAGCTCTGCTGGAGGGTTCAGCCTCGCCTCTGCCCTGCTCTCTTTGCTGGGTTTGGTGGAACCTGCAGTCTTCCTTCCACCTTTACAGGCATAGGAATCCGCCATCTCTGAAACAAGCAGGGGATGCATTAGAAGTCACATGGAGCTGGGAAGAACACATGCTGAAAGCAAGGAGAGCTGCTGGAATGGAGGGAAATTAGAAATCTGACAGCTGAAGCATTCCCACAAAGGGAAGAAACAGGATAGCTTTCTGAGTATCTGTCCTCTGGCTGAGCAATGCAAAAGACATGGTTGAAAAGCTGCTTTCATGATGAGCTGATTTCCTCTCCACGTATAACAGCAAAGACTTTATTAAAAATTATGGGCTGGCTTCGTCCAGAGAAGTAACAAGTAAATGGCTTTTCCTCTTCGTTTATTTCTATGCTTTCATTTAAGACACCAAAAGGAAAAAAAAAATAGTGAGTTTTAATGAACAGATGTAGTGATAAATTTCCAATTTTCCTTATTAATGGGAAACTGTTATAAACCGAGAATTGCTAATGTTATCTAAATTTTCTGTATTAATAATTCAATTTGGCTTCTCTATAAATAATGAACATCAGAAATTATCACGGAAGGCCTGGTCGTGCTCCCCGCAGAAGCAACCAGCAGGAGACCCCTCTGCTTCAGGAGGATTAAGGCCATGGAGTGGCTGCTTCTGCCCAAGTTCATTTCAAGTATCCTCAGACACTGAACCCAAACCTCACACTTGAATGAAGGGAGATAACACAGCTGCTTGGAGTGAGCCACCCAGGTGCACTGCTGTGGGCTGTACAGCCCGGTACAATGCAGCAGGATGAGGGATGCACCTTGCAGGAGGAGCTCAGCCTGCCTGGTTTGTAAACGTTTCTTGCAATGCAGACAAAATTCACTGCTGGGCTGAGCAAGTGTGGGTTTGGGGACCAATGAGCAGGGTCTGGATGCAGCGCTATAGCCCTCAACTCAGATCTTGCTGCAGAGCCCAGCTGCACCAAGGGACCAAACCTGCCCCAGGGGTGTCAGGGCTTTTGGAGTGGGTCCTGCTGGCTCCCATGGCCACACCCAGCCTGAAGACCATGGACAGTGCCAGGGAAGCAATGCTGATGCTCAGCCAGACACGAGCAGTGCGACTGCAGGAAGTGCCACCTGCTGCCTTCTTTTCACCTCTGCTTAACACTTCTCTCCCACGTGCACATGTTTTTTAAAACACAGATGTGACTTGTCAGCCTCTGATGCCTCTCACATAACCTCATCTGCATCGTTCAGCTCAATCCAAGCCAAAGATGTGCCTCCTGAGCATCCCCAATCACCCTGCCCAGGTGCCCGGTGGGATTGCGGTGTTTGGGGAGCAGCTTCCCTGTACCCACACCATGGAAAAGGTGGTTGCATGCCCCCAGTTCCAGAGCACTGCTATCACAGTGTGGGACACTGTGCTGTCCCTTGAGGTGTCCTTCCAGAGGTGGCAACAGGGACTTCCTGTGCAGGAAAGCATAACTGTGCATGGCATGCAGACCAGATGCTTCCAGACGAGCTGGCAAACTCCTCCAGCAAGTGTTCAGCCAGTGACAAATATTGGGTTGTTTGTGCAGACACAAAGGTTAATCAAATCAAATGAGAAATTCCACTCTTGGCAACAGGTTCTCTGGCATTCGGTGCTGAACACAGGAATCATTTATTCCACTCCTTTGCACTCCTGCAGCAGAAGATCTGGATATGAGCTGCATCGGGGAGTGGGCACCCAGTGGGGTCCCTGCAGTCTTTCCCCAAACTGCAGCTCATCCACAGGGACAAATGTGCCAGTGCCCTCCCCTGCTGTGCCACTTGTGAAGGACAACACGCAGGGAAGGTCCTGCTGGGAGCAGACACCCCGCATGTTCACACCCAGCAGTAGTGCATGGGCAGGAGTAGGGGCAAGGGATGAGCTGAGCATCGTTTCCTAACGCTCCAGCCATGGGGCTGAGCATCGCTCCTGAGCGCTCCCATCCCGGACCTGCAGTTCTGCTATCACTGCTGATCACTTCTGTCCCATCAGAGAGGTCCTTTTTGGCCAGTTGTGGAGGTTTGAAACTTCTTTGTTTCCCCATCAAATACTGCTTTGATTTTTTTTTCCCCTCTAATTTTTAGCTTAAATGAAAAATAAAAGCCAATAAACCTCCTAGCGAGAGCCAAATGCCACTCCATGACCATCAATACAACCCCGGGGATCCCAGAGGAATTGTCCCAGAGCCAGAAAGGAGAAATCAGCCCATTGTCTTCAGTCATATCCAAACTTCTCACTTGATTTGAGTCATACCCGCTGACACCAGCCAACAGCCTGTGCTGTGTGCCTTTCCATGCTTCCACTGCGTTTTGGTGCATTTTGCAGCCGGTGATGAGAGAAACAGATATTGGCAGGTCCCAGCTGTGAGCGGTGCTGGGATGCACTGGGGGAGGCCGGGACAGCTGCAGCATCTTTGCAGATCAAGCTTCACTCTATCACAACTCCTCCCGAGGAGGTGCTGGGCACAGCCTGACCCCTGGCACATTTGGCATGAACTGGAAAAGGGGAACTGATTCCACACTTCAACACCTGTCAGTCAGTGTGGACCAGCAGCAGCACACACACACAGCACCAGGGAATGCTGTGGTGCCCCCGATCCCAGCACTTTGCAACCACCTCAGCACACGTCACCCATTGATTCGCTCCACTTATTGTCAATAATTAATTGATGGCTCGGTGTGATGGAGGTAATGCCAAAAAGGCAAGTGAGCTGCGAGGTGAGTGGCATGCTGGGGGAATGGGGATGCAGCGAGGCCATCACAGGTGACAGCCATCAAAAGGAGCTCAGCGTTGTGTACTAAGAGAAACTTTTGGGCATGGGGAGAGGCTCCCTTAGGAGAAAGGGGAATCACAAAGAGGGAAGCACCTGGCAGGTGACGTGACCCCTGGGGTAAGGATGGCCACCCTATGCCTGTGGAGATGCCATGGATGTCGCTGCCTCCCCTGCCCCTCTGCAGTGCTCTGAGTGCAGCTGGTGGCTGTGCAGCTGCAGGTGTCCATCTGAGGTCCTTCAGCATCACCATCATCACCCAAACCCAGCAACACCCGCTGGCCAGTGGTTCCCCTTAGTACCTCTATGAGGCTCTTCTGCAGGAAATCACTTGCATGGAACAGAAATAGCACCCAGCCACTGCACTTCACCCAAGTGCCTATTTCTGGGCGCGGGTGAAGCTTTTGATGGTTTGAAAGTTTCTGTTTGAAACACGTTAGCAAGTCCCTCCCCCTCGGCCATCCTCAGGCACAAAAGCAAACGGGAAAAGCACACACACACACACAAACACACACAAAATCCCAGCAGACAGTGAGCAGCCCTGGCCGGAGCCACCGGCCGGTGTCACCACTGCCCGGTGACCTGCGGGGCTGTGTGTCACATCACTGCGTGTCACATCACTGCGTGTCACATCACTGTGTCACAGCACTGCTGGGTACCGCCGGTGTGAGCAGAGGTGGACGCTCGTCCTGCTGTCACTTCCTTGGGCCCGCCTGGGTCACGCCATCACCTGTCACCTCCGCGGCCTGGGCTGCGCCACACTCGGTGCCCGGGTCCCTCATCCTCCCGCTCTGGCCAACGCATCTTCCTATCACCTCCCCGGCCAGGATCCTCTCGCCCAGGGCCGCCCCACCTCCCGTCACCTCGGTGCCCGGGCCGTTCCACCCCCGGTCGCCGTGCCCCCCATCCTCCCTCCCGGCTCACCTCTCCGTCACCTCGCCGACCCGGCCACGCTCAGGGCCGGCTCACCCCGCGGCCCACCGACCCGTCGGACCCGCGGCCCGGCCCCTCCCCGCTCCTCCCCCGCCCCCGTCACCCCGCTTAGGGCCCCGCCGCCCGCCGCCCCCGCGCGGGCCCCGTTCCGGGCTGCGCCGAGGCCCCGTCCCGCCACCGGCCCCGCGCTCCCGGGAGGGGAAGCGAGAGGCAAAATGGCGACGCGGGCTGCGGCCGGAGGAGCGGGAACGGGAGCGGGAGCGGGGGGTCCCCGCGGCGGGGCCGGGCCGGGCCGGGCCGGGGCCTCGCTCGGCGCTTACCTCGGCGGCAGCGGCCGCGGTGCGGGGCGCTGGGGCCGGGCGCCCCCCCGAGCGGCGAAGCGGCGCCGCCCGCGGCTGTGGGGCCGCCGTTCGGGGCTCCC